TTAGGGCTTAGGGTTTGGGGGTCAGGGCTTGAACGACTCAGGTAGTTTGAGCCTGCGGTTCTTCAGTCGCCTTGCTGTTCACCAGCCCGACTACGATGATCAATGACCGTGCCAGACAAATGTTGAAAAACCTTATACAAGGAAAGCAATGGTTACTGCCATGGAGGCCTGATTTTAAATCTAACCCCTATATGATCCCTATATAATACCTATAACCCCTACATAATCCCCGTATAACCCCTATATAATACCTATAATCCCTATATAATCCCTATATAATCCCGATATAACCCCTATATAATCCCTAAACCCCCATGGAGGCCTGTAAAATTGCTGATATTGGTGATCACGATCGGGAAGGCCACAGCAAGGTCCTCAAGGTGGCTGTAATCTTCGGGCGTCATCTCCTTGCACGTTACAATGTTTAGGGATTTACCAAAGGGTCCATGCACCCAATAATTAGGTACTTGGGATATTGGTAATAGTAATTACAGTATACGTTTTGGTTAAGTCTATGATTATTAGGTACTTGGACCCTTAGGGAATGTTTAGGGGTTTAGGATGTAGGGTTTAGAGCGTAGGGTTTAGGGTTCAGGCTATTGAATGTTCAGGGTTATAGGAGATGATACTCATGCTTATCCTGGCTTAGATGCTGCGATCACGTTGGTGTACGAGTCTTGAGGAAAAACATGTTTGGTTCATTTTTTGTTTCCCGGAGCCTCTTCTTCTGCTTCGTCTGGGTCTTCATCGTCTTCCAACTCCTCCAGCGAGTTCGTCTTGAAGGTGAAGACCGCGCCAAGGAGAGAGAAAACGAGATACCACCGGAATAGCTTCATTTTTCTGGGGAAAAGAGAGTAGGAGGTAGATCCAACTGGATCTTGTATGTCTAGACCTAGACTCGGACTGACTTGCCAGCGGGAGATGCAGACACAGCTCCAGCATGCTAGTGCTCGGATGGGACTGTACCCTAAGGCTCCATGTAGCACATGGTACTAGTTCTAGAGTTAGAGCCCTAGGGGTAGTATGGGGTTGTAGTATGTTCGGTGCATATCACGCCTAGATGTTCGATTCTGAGTTAAGATACAGCTGCCGGCCAGGAAACCAACGTTTGTTGCGGTTCTTGCTGCCAAAGTACAGGAACTAGCTTAAGTGCTGGAAGCATTCGTCCTTAAGCCTCACCAAAACAACAAGCAAGCTTCCTACCCCACAAACCGAGTTAGCTATATGATGGAACACTATAGTGTTATGAATACAAAGAACTATAGTACATGGGATATACACTATAACCTGGTTATAACTTGAGCCTTTTCCAGCCTAGCCCTAAGCCCCAGAAGCACGTAACCCTCAACCGCTGAGCTGAACAAGCCATTGCCAGAAAACACCTTTTCTCGACGCTACTTGTACAGCTACCACAGCCCCTTGTTTGAGGAATTTGTCTTCCTAGGGACCTTTGAGAAAAATGGAAGAAGCCTCGTGCGAAATACTTACCTATGGGCTAAGAATCAGGAGTATACGGAAAACAATCACTTTAACACAACGTCCTGAACGAATCAGGCTGTCTGGGATTCGGTGTGCATACCGACTGTCGACGATGCTTTTGATGAAACAAGACTTGCAGCGGCTCAAGCACGTTGAGGTTCAAGCACTTGACTAAGCCTTCAACCCGAAACCCTATACTCTTGGGGCCTGAGGTGCTGAACTGAAAGCTTGGCTATATCAATCCTACGCCCAACAGAAACCGCAAACCTGACCTGAAATCCCAGCTCCCTAAGCCGTGTACCAGAACTAGAGATCAGGCCTAAACCCTAATCCGCTAGACACGAACCCCTAATACCAGAACCAGAGATCAGCTCAGTTGCCCCCATCCTTGAAATGCCATGGTAGGTTGGGTCGCACCTCGTCCGGTCCAATGTGATGGCTGGAGTGTCGGATTTTGGGTGGTCAGAGTCTAGTGCTTTGGGGCTTAAGGGTTCACTGGTTTTGGATGAAGGGCTTAGGGTTCAAAGCTTTGTGGTTCAGATGGAGGGTTTGGGCATAACTGGAGAACAAGAAACAGCTGGGAGGTGACGAAGTAGAGCTCTCAAAACCAGCGCAAAAGCAACAAAGTACGATAGGACAGCTCATACAAATGTCGTCCTTTGCCATGAGTCTCAAATTGCAAGTATCAGGAAACGCCAAAACGCAAGTCCCAAATGCCAGGCTAAAGCCTTGCCGAGTGGTTGCATACTCAATTTACTGTAAAAGCTAAAACAAAACCATGGCCTCCGGGCATCTTTCGAAATAGTCGTATAAGGACGGTGAGGGAATATTTTGGGTTTAGGGTGTGGGTTTAGGCTTCTACAACAATTCCCCTGTAACTGCGTGTACAACCACAGTCCATGGCTTCCGATTTGATTTTCCACGAATGCCACTCTTAGCCATAATTGCCCTGTACAGTCTCTTTAACTCCCCCTTCAGGCTTCTGGAATACCTTATTGAGTCAGCAGGGTTGTATGGTGCGGGTGGGAACATTTGTTAATTGACTTGGATGTTGCCCCCAAGCTATAACCTGCTTGCTATTAGGAAGGAAATTAAGGAATGGAACGGCACATGGGAATACTACGTTATTGAGGCGATTATAAGGGCTACCATTTAAATCTATCTGGCCTGGAACTGGAGCCCTCGCAGAAACTATTTCTTGGGAGCTCATACAACAAAAACACCACACAGACACCAATTCCTTTCTGGACATCTCCAGCAATAGCCCCAGAATCTTGGACCTGTATTACTGTCGCAATTGTAATATCCTTACCCTTATAGGCCCTAAACGCTACATGACTGTTATCAGGTGAACTTTAGTCCGAACCCTAGCCCCTCCATAACCCCCAGAGTGCTCCCCTATATAACCCCCTTCAAGGAGTTTAAGCCCTTATCCCTATGTAACCCCCTTTGAGGAGTTTAGACTATTGCTCTTGTAGGGGCCGCGCCGTACCCAAGATTTAGGTGCTTGATGTTCATGGCTAGGAGTGCTTGGAAGTTGGAGACATTAGGGTTTAGTTTAGGGTTTAGGGTTTCGGGTTCATGGTTCAGGGTTGTTAGATGAACTCAGTCCCGATGCCGCTGCACAAGCAAACCAGGTAAAACGACCCATTCCAACTGTAGCTTCCTCCCACCCAAGCCTATCCCTAAACCCCATTTTATAGTTTCCATAAATCGGGGGACACCAATAATATAGACCCCAAAATACAAAGCTCCTTAGTACAGGAACCCTAAACAACTACCCATAATTTTGGAAAAGCCACTTCTGATGTGAGAATGGAGCCTGGTGCTGTGCGCAAGAACTTGGTGAGAGCACAATCGATGAGGAGCCAAGCCCCGAATGCTTCAAACCAAATATCTTAAGAATGACGCCCCGTAAGACGTGTATTCCAACACCCTAAATTCTTGGCCCTGAACCGTTAACAATAAAAGGACTAGCAAGTGCCTTTGCCGGTCACTAAAGCAACCATGACGTGCATGCATGTCTGCTGGGCTGCTGTTGAGGAACGTAAACTCAAAAGTGCATATCACATATCCATCATATGTAGCTCGTCGACAGCAACCGTGTATAGGTCTTGGACCCTATTAAACCAAGGGCAACACGGGATGATTTTTGATGTTGGATAGCTATTTCATGAACCCTGTGGATGGATGCTACCTTGCACCACCCACACAGCCTATGCCCTACCAATTATACCAATACAGGGGTTTGAAGCGGCGAAAGATTTCCCCCATACACACAGTAGGACCAAGCAGGCAGTACTGGGAAACCCACATCTCAAGTCTTTGTTTGAAAGTCTGACGCCTCTAGGCAGGGCTTCCACCACCCAAGTTCAAGTATTATATTTCAGAATATATTCCTGAGTGAAGGGATATGTGAACTTTTCACGAGGACAACCTCTGATCATGTACCACAATCTCGGAAACCAGGGTCCGAATCAGGGAGTCTGACGTAGCCAGAATACAGTCCCAGAACCCTGAAGCCCTAAACGCCAAGCGCCAGGCAAAGTCAATTCCTGACCTTTCTTCTTGTTAAGGATTGTGATCTCCAGACAGATGCTACAGGCCTGCACGCACGTGAAGGATCACGGGTTGTCATTCATTACTCTGTGAAGCTGTAATTGCAATTACCATTACGTATACGTACTTGAAATTGCAATTACCATTACGTATACGTACTTGAGATGTACCCATTACGGTTACCATTACTATGGCCATGTTGATTGCTATGTCTTTTGCTGTTACCCGTGCTCTTATTATCACTGTTACTGCTCATATTACTACTGGCT